GGAAATTACCTAATTACATGTGAGGAGAAAGGTCAATGGAGGCATGCAATTATGATATTGTAGTAATCTGCTCATCATCCAAACATAATTAGTCTTTTCAGTCTTCGAATAAATGGGAGCCCTTATCCAATTATGGCGTTGTTATATGCTCTTTCAATCTTTATCAGCACAAATGGTTTGTCAATACAGGAGCAAGATACTGAAGCCAAGCCTCTTATTTGAAATAAAAATAAAACTACAATTACGTTGTTCATCTGGTTTCAGTAAATGAGCATTACAAATTATATTGTAAATCCTATTAGAACTAACACAAATAAGTAAGCAAGCAATCTTCTTCTTCTTATTCTTCTTTTTATCAATTTATTTATTACAATTTGTAAATGAAATGCAAAACTAAGGAAAAAAACCGAAGACATTTCAAATTAATCACAAAATAGCAAAGAAATTGCTCAATGAGCTTTGAATTTTGGCGATAATCAAACTGGATCATACCAATATGATTTGGCTGACCTTGAAATGGTCATGTCGTCAATTTTGTTATCTTTTCTGTTAAATGCATGGGTAAAATGGTATTTTTGTATTACAATACAAATAAATCTCTCTCTCTCTCTCTCTCTCTCTCTCTCTCTCTCTCTCCCAATTTCTTCTCCCCCCAACCCAGATTTTTCCTCTCCCTCTATCGAGAACAAGGAAGCTTACCTGCATACTCAAGATTCAGATGAGAGGAAGAGATAGCAAAGAGGGCATCCCACAACCGTCCTTCACCCAGTGCCCCCTCCCATTCGATTTTTTTTCCCCCATGACCACCAGCCTCCAACCTCCAACAAACTCAGAATCCAGAACCCCAACCCAGATTCCCTCCTCCTCGATACCCTATTTTATGGATTTCGGAACCTGAATTCTGCTATTCTTCCTTGACCTTTGTACAAAAATTGAAGAGGGGCGCTGGTGGAGGTTGGTTGTGGGGGAAGAAATCATGAGAGAGAGAGAGAGAGAGAGAGAGAGAGAGAGAGAGAGAGAGAGATATATTTTTTTTTTTATTTTTGTTTATTTTTAATACAAAAGACCCTTTTAAAAAAAATACAAAAATACCATTTTACCACTATACTTAACAGAAAAAGCTAACAAAACTGACGGCAGGACCATTTGTCCTAACGAAACTGAAGTTAAAGGACCACAGGAACTATTTTAGAAATTGAGGGACCAAAATGCGAATCGGGTCAAAATTCAAAGACCATTAGACCTAAAAACCCATTTTTTGCACTTAAAGGAAAACTAGTAATAGACTATTCATTTCGATAAAAATTAAAAAAATTAAAAAAATTAAAAAAAAAAGGGATGTGATTTCTCCACTCCATTTTTCTCCACTTACACTCCCTTTTGCTTTTTAATCAATTTTATTCTTTCTTTTTCCTATTCTACCCTTACCCTACATTGATTTCTTTTTTACTTCACTTTTATATTAGTTCTTTTTCTTTACACTTAATTTTCCAACTTGCACTCTATTTTTAGTTTTTTTTTTCCTTTAATCGAGTAAGAAATTAAGTATTTTTCCCCTTTTAATATTGAAAATGGAGTGTAAGTTGAAAAATTAAGTGTAAAGAAAAAGAAATAATATAAAGTGAAGTAAAAATGAAATTAATGTAGGGTAAGGATAGAATAGGAAAGAGAAAGAACAAAATTGATTAAAAAGTATTAAAAAGCAAAAGGGAGTGTAAGTGGAGAAAAATGGAGTGGGGAAATCAGATCCCAAAAAAAAAAACAATAGACTATTCATATTAAAAAAATTATATAAATATAAATAAAAATAAGTTGGCATTAGGCTACAAAAATAATAACAAGACGGAAATACTTTTCATTTTTAGAGTGAACTTTACAGAAATATCCTACACAATAATGTCCTGGAATAATAAAAAGGAATTCAATTTATTAGTTTGTCTCATCTTCTTTTGCTTGAGTGTGTTGTTGGATAAGCAATGAACCTTGAGTCTTTGGATGTGAGCGTGGCATGATTGTCATTAGTAGGCATGGGTGGGCTAAATTAAATTTTAGGTAGATAAAATAACAACTCACCTGAGCTATAAGCAAAACAAAAAGATCACTTAACCAATAGTTCTTCCCTAACACCCTAAGCATAACCAACTTTACACAGCAAGAATCCAAATTTTGGAGGATTCCAATATTTAAAGTACGCATCATGTGATTATGCATGGAGATTAGTAAGACCATAAATTATGGTTGAGACATACCAAACTTCAAACCCATATTCCTCAAACATAACCCCTAAAATACTTAAACCTTTATCATTGTGACTAAGTAGGAAAAAGGTTTCATCCCATATTGCCTTGTGTGTTTAACAAAACCTGATGGCTTTCATACTCCTGTCTGTCTATCCAAACTCGCGAATTAATAGTGACATATGATAGGCAACTGAGAAACAGTTGATACAAATATGAATATGAGGGCTTCTGATATATAGTTGGAACAACTGAATTGGATTTCGTGGACGGATGAGCGAATGGACCACCCACAGGACAGGACAATTACTGGACACATGCATGCAACTTTTACCTTCCTCAACATATCTTCTACCTACATATCTCAATTCGCATGCCGATGAATATTTGATTAAGCAAGAACATGAGAATAGAGTGAAAGACACTAAGAACCACTAGCATCAATGCCATATGCATAAGCACTCAAAAGAAAGAAGAAGAAAAACTGGTTTTGATGCTTTACCCTAGCTGGGAATACTTTTTGGGAAGCATTGGTGCAACCTTCTCTGTAAACTGATGAGCACAAAAAGTCAGAAAAGGCCAAAAGAAGAACCTGATGTGCACAAATCGTACATCTCATGTTTAAAGACATGATTAAGAACAACATCAAAACGTGAATAACAGGCCGGTATATAGATGTTTCTAGATACATGCCTTGTTCACGCAAGATAGCTGCAGACCCATAACCTTGTTGTGATACATTTGAACCCTTCCTACTCCAGCCTTGATGAATGAGATCAAACCCCGCAGAATGGAAGATGCAGGCAGCACTGATTTATTGTTTGCAAAATTCACCATTGCATACCCCACGGGAAACATCAGCAAGATAAATGATAAGATATATTCAGTAACCTTTAACTTACATCAAACAAGCTCAATAATCAGCAAATACCATATCAATCTATTGTGCCTATCATGAAAAACAAAAGACTTTATTAGGACCTTAGAAGTAAAAATCCTCCGTCATTGGATTTCTGATGTGAATTGTATGCTTCTCATATACATAAAAAGTAGTTCATCAACTAACTATGCAAATAGAGCTCATTTCCTATGGAGTTCGTGCAATCACATATATATGTTACATGAACTTAGGTATGGGAGTCGGACGAGGGTTGATGCCCAAGTATATCAGGGTTGTCTTTCTCCGAAGGTCTTCTATGCATCTGCAATTCCTAGTGCTCCTTACCACTTACTTGTGTCATGTCTTATTGACACATGTATAAGCAACAAGATGAAGTGAAGAGTCCACGTAACCTTGCAACATTCATATCACTCATATTTAATTATTTATTAAACCATCACTTACAGAGAAATGCCTTTAAATTAAACGACTCTTAATATTGGATTAAGTCAATCATTACCTTAAATGTTGTTATTATACTGTTTTTTATGTACTTAAATAATTATAACCTTTAATGTTGTGCAATGTTTTATGGGTTCGGTTCCTCTGTATTTGCTTGACTTTTATTATTTACATGTTCGAGCCTAATATAGTCCTTAGTATTCTAAAAATGGATTTTAGCCTCCAAACCTCAAATCCAAGTGACAACATGATTGGATAATATCAACTACTTGATAAAGTTTGAATGAAATACATGAACTTGAGCCCCACATTGGAAAAGAAGACAAAGTATCTACTCCTTAGAGCATCTCCACCCACAAGGGCTAAGTCTAAGGCAAGGGCAAGCAAGGACTGCCACTATTCACGTGAATAGTGTCAGCCTTTGCATTTGTGGTTCCACCCACAAGGGCAAAGTCTAGGGCAAGTCTAAGGTAATTACTATTCATTGTACTTTATTTTCTATTTTTTTATAGTTTAAACCTTTAATTTTGATAATCTTTTGTAATTAAATTTTCGGATAAAATTTTCACCCTCTAAAATTGTGCCACGTCTGATGTAGAACAAATGACAGATTTTATCGCGGTTGAGCTAGAAAAAGGACGTAGTGGGAATTTGCAGATTTGTCGTCCGAGCTCCGATTAGGACACAAAATACCATTTCGGAAAGGGAACGACGCCACGAGTCAGCACACTGCTTTGCTGTGACGTATGATGGATTTTGGCATTTTGAGGTCGTTTGGCCTTCCAAAACGGCATTTAAAGTTTCGTAGTTAATTTTCGGTATTTTAGATTTTAATAAAAATTATTCCAAGAAAATTCCTTCTAAAATTGTGTCACGTGTCAAATGTCAGATAACATTTTCAGATATTTTAAAAAAAAATTATAATATCATATTTCAGATAAGATTTTCACCCTCTACAATTGTGCCACGTGTCAAATGTCAGATAACATTT